CACGGGACCATGGGGAGGCTATAATAGTCATAAGTGTGAAAAACGGCCATGAGTCACTTGTTTCAGTGCTGTTGTGGCTTCAAAAGATCAGTACATGAACGGTGCTTAAGAATATAGATGTTTTTCCTGTATAGAAAAGTTTTAAATAAATAAATTGATATTATTTGAGACCTCGGCTTTAAAGTGTATTGAAATGAACAAGCAGCCTCTATCACCATGGGAACTCTAAATAAACTTTAAAAAAAATATACAGTATTGCCTTTAGCTGACTCCTGGTGGCTCCATGGACATCTCTGTGCAATTTTCTTGGCATTATTTTTTGTTTGGAAATAACTTGATACTGCTCATCCTTGGGGCCAAAAGAGACAGAGAGAGAGAGAGAGAGGGAGGGAGGGAGGAAGTGTGTGACCCACTGGTTTTGTGCCTAAGGCAGCACTACAATTCATAGTCTCCTGATTTCTAGCCTTTAACCACTACTCCAAATTCTCTCTTAGCACTACTCTCTCAGCAACATTGAATTATATAATAAATACATATTAAAAGCACAAGAAAAAAACAGCCAATAGGAGCTGTGGCAGAGATGGTATTCAGCAGGTTCTGACCAGTTCTGGAGAACCGGTAGTGGACATTTGAGTGGTTCAGAGAACCGGCAAATACCACCTCTGACTGGCCCCGCCCCCATCTAGTCTCTGCCTCCCGAGTTCCAGCTGATTGGCTGGATCTTCTTTTGTTGCCCTGTTAGATATAGCCGAGTGTTCTAGTCTGTCAAGATCCATCTGGATCTTGAGCCTATGTTCTTGGGTGTTAGCTATTCCTGCCAGCTTAGTATCATATCTCTGGACACCTGCATAACTGGATAGAAGCATTCCTGTAAAACAGACAATGATCAAAATTGGGAGCGTCCTATCAAATTCTGTACCTGTCAACAGTGGTGTCCCCCAAGGCAGTGTCCTAGGACCACCTCTCTTCATACTCTACCTAAATGACCTCTGTGATCATATTAAGAGCAACTGCATTATATTCACTGATGATGTAAAGCTATTCAACATCACAAACAATACTGCTACCCTTCAAAAAGATCTTGACTATGTATCAGAATGGTCAAACAAATGGCAACTTCAAATCTCAACAAACAAATGCTCTGTCTTACATATTCGCAAAAAAATAATAATAATCAGAAAATAAAAAACAGGCTGAATAGTCAAGACCTTGTTGATGATCCAAACTCTGTCAAGGATCTTGGAGTACTCATCTCTAATGATCTAAGTGCTAGAGCCCACTGTAACTACATAGCCAAAAAGGCATTAAGAGTTGTTAACCTAATCCTACGTTGCTTTTTCTCTGGTAATATTATACTAATAACTAGAGCATACAAAACATTTGCTAGACCAATACTCGAATACAGCTCATCAGTCTGGAACCCACATTACATATCTGATATTAACACAGTTGAAAAAGTCCAGAAATATTTCACAAGAAGAGTTCTCCTCTCTTCTACTCATTGCAGAATACCTTATGCCACCAGACTTGAAATTCTAGACCTAGAAAATCTAGAACTATGCCGCCTTCAGTCCGATCTAAGTATAGTATATAAAATCATACATTGCAATGTTGTACCTGTCAATGAATACTTCAGCTTCAACCATAACAATGCAAGATCAAACAATAGATACAAACTCAAGGTTAATTGCACCAAACTTGATTGCAGGAAATACGAGTTCAGCAACAGAGCGGTCAATGTCTGGAATACTCTACCTGACTCTGTGGCTTCTTCCCCAAACCCCCAAAACTTTAACCTTAGACTTTCTACTATTGACCCCACCCCTTTTCTAAGAGGCCTGTAGGGGGCGTGCATAAGCACACCAACGTGCCTACTGTCCCTGTCCTGTTGTTTCTTTTATTTTTCTTATATGTATCCATGTATTCATAACTATGTTTTTACTCATACCTATTATCTTGTAAGCAATTGACAAACCAAATAAAATAAAAATAAATAAATAAAAACCTGCAAATTTGGTAAGTTCCCCTTCTATTCCCTCATCTAAGTTGCTAATGAAGATATTGAAGACTACTAGGCCGAAGTCAGAAACTTGTGGCACCCCGTTTGAATGAAAATGCGGTACATATGAGCACATGAGCTCTATAGGCTCATGTAGGTTTCTCCCTGTAAAAGGAATTGGGCCACCTATAATCAGCTCAGTTTCCATATGCTTCAAAGTAAGTTCACTTCTAGGGCTTTCAAGTGGGATGAACATGCCAGCACATGATACTTGGATTTTAATGCAGCATGTGTTATTTTAGTATTTTATGTTTGAACTGGGTATCTGATTTATTTTCTTGGTTTTTATTGGAATGTTAGTTTCAAGAGAGTAAGCCCATGCTCTCAGGATGGGTTTAATTAAGAATTGCAATAAATAATAAAATAAATCAAACACACACACTCTTAAGGCCTGCTGGAACTGGTCCAAGGGACTTGCTTGCTTCAAAAGTAATTATATTTTCTTTACCATATTTTTCCTTGGAACATGAAACTTATACCTTAATCTCTCTCAGCCAGGCCAAAATAACCACAGTCCAAGTTCCATTACACATCCCAAGATATTCTTTATTGTAAAAGCAACCGAGCATGTAGAATCTGACATAGGAGAATTCCTGGCTTTCGTCTTTTGGTATGCCAAAAAAATAAAAGACTTTGCACATTTCAGGTTACAACAAGGTAGAGGATGGATTCGTGCTTTTAACAAAGAGCATTCCTTTTTGCAGATAAATATGCCAATAAGGTACATCTCTTACCATTTGTCCTGCCAACCACCAATGCAAGGAGAACATACTGGGTTATGTTCCAGAAGCAAATTGAAGATCTTTCAAAAAGACGTGAAATAATACTGGAAATGGACGTTGATTATCCCACACTGTTTGGGAGACCAATTTTCCCAAGGAAGTTCAGGAAAGTTTTGATCTATTTTACTGGCATCTTTCAGAAAGCCAAAGAAACAGAAACCAGGATCAGTGGTCCTTGATTTATTTCAAACCAATAGGGATGGTTTTAGAAGTCCACAAAGTTCACATGCTGGACAGAGAGGACCAGGGGTGAACTGCTACCAGTTCTCCCCAGTTCAGGAGAACCCGTAGCTAGTTTTATGGCTGGTTCGGCAAACCGGCAAATCCCACCCCTGGCTGGCCCCACCCACCCCTCCCCTCCCAGGAGTCCCCACATGGCCCATTTGGATGCCAAGTAAGGGCAGGGTCCGTGTAGAGGCTCAGGGAGGGTGAAAAATGGGTCCCTGGAGCCCGGTGGTGGGGGGTCATTTTCGCCCTTCCAGAGGCTCGAGGAAAGCCTCCGGAGCCTGGGGAGGGCGAAAAACAGGCCTCCTGGAAGTTCTGGAAGGCTGGAAATTGACTCATTTCCGGCCTCCAGAGGGTCTCCCTCTGGAGCCCAGGGGAGGCCATTTTTGCCCTCCCAGAGGCTCAAGGAAAGCCTCCGGAGTCCGGGGAGGGCGAAAACGGCCCTCCTGCCATGGTGCAGGAGGCCAGCAAGGCCACACCCACCATGGCCACGCCCAGCCAGGAACTTGGAAAAGAACCAGTTGCTGATATTTTTGAAGCCCACCTCTGGAGAGGACCATTTGTTTGAAAGAAGGGTAAAAAGAGGCCATTTATGTTAACACTGAACAACCCTCTCTCAGCAGAGGGGGAGAGATAAGATACCACCTATCTCCAGTCTATATCACAGTCCTTGAAGTAGTTCCAAGAAGATCCACCCCCATTTGCCCTCTAATACATGTGACTCTGAGGGCACAGATAAAACCTCCAAGTGGCCTCAAAAGCTCTCAGAGAGAGTGCTAATGACCAGATGACTGCAAAGAAATATGATCCTGCCATCTCTCCCACCATCCTGCCAGAACCGATAAAGCTTCTTGGATGAGAAGTGAAACATCTTTTTCCTCAGGGGGAAAGAACAGTCCAGTTGCCATTTGAAAAAGCTCCTTTGCGACACCTGTGACCTATGATGACTGAAAATCTCCACAGACCCTTATAAGTCAAAGTGAAAGAACAAGAAACTTTGTGGAGAAGAAAAAAGTCCTCACCTGTAAAGGAAGAAATGAGAGAGGGCTATGAGAAGCGTGTGTAGGGCCCAGGAGAAACCCAGGGTATGAAGTGGAGTGGAAGAGATTTAATTGCGACAGAATCTTCTTTGGTTTCTTGTTGGCTGCAGTAATGATGTTTTGTTTCATTCATTCATTCATTCATTCATTCATTCCTTAGCATAATGCAGGTCTGCAAACTTTTGAACTCTTATCAACAATTAACAAACTGTTATCAAAGCAGGTCATTGTGGGCACTTAGCAGATGGTGGCTCAGAACCGTGTGAGAACTGAATTGAGCTTCACCTGCTGATTAGACTAGTTTGGTTTAGTTTACTTTATCGTCATTGCACCTTGTACAAGGAAATCAAGCATCCATCTTCAGTGCACATCATGACCATGAAAATAAACACAAACACACATCCTTCACCCTTCACACATTGAACTGGAAACCCCTGACACCACACCAACACTGCACTATACAGCAGAATTCAAAAGAGCTAATGCCCTGGGATAGAAGCTGTTTTTCAGCCTATTTCTCCTTGTTTTTATTATTCTGGGCGGAAGTTATTATTTGGGCATCACCTGGAAGTTATTATTCGGGCATCACCTGGAAGTTATTATTCAGGCATCACCTGGAAGTTATTATTCGGGCATCACCTGGAAGTTACCATCTTTCCATGCCCTCTTCCTGCTATGATAATGAAGCAAGAAAACCAAGAATGCCACGTGGCAGTTCTTCCGTGCTGGGTTCTTTATTGTTTCACACCTATAGACAAAATCTTGCCAGACTAAGCACTCTGCTATCTGCATCTTGAAAATACTCTGAGAACTGTTCGTGAGGGATAGCTTTCACCCGCTTTCTCTCACACATGATATCTGGGCTCAGTTATCCCGTACGCCTCTGGAATGCACTCCCTACCTCCAGGGAACCCATCCAACCACACATTCCATCATAGCAACTAAATTGTGCCTTTACACAAGGAGGGGCTTCAAATTTTTTTTAGCAAGGGGCTCTCTGCCCTAAAAACTGGCTGGGTGGGTATGGCTGGGTTGTCATGTGACTGGGTGGGTGTGGTCAACTTGACATTGCTTCTTTGCCCTAATTACCTAAAAAAAGATATATACCAAAAAGTTGTTCGTTGTTTTGTGCATTTAATACTTAAATAAGAGACTGGGTGAAACCAGGCTTAATAGCAGTGACTGTGGGAGGGATCTTGGAGTCTTAGTGGAGTTTCTGGTGAGTTACATGATTCTTATTATTTGGAAATTAATCCCCTCGGAGGTTAGTGGCTATGTTATCTTATTTTCTCCATGGCTTTCCCTTGCAAGCACTGAGTGGATTGTTTATCTAGCTTGCAACACTTTTATGAAGTGTGAAATGCTCTTGGCTGAATGCCCAGAAGTTTAATTAAGCCTGTTAAGAGCTTTCCCTTGCTGCTTGTCTTTCTGAGGTTACTGGGGGCTCTCAAGCCCCGCAGAGTCTTAGCTAGGGACTCTCCCAAGCCCCTGCGAGCCCACAGCAGCCTACCCCTGCCCTTACAGTAGGAAAAAACTGGAACCCGGTTCAATGAAATGCACTCAAGTGAAAGCTCATTGCGTTTCCCTATGGATCTATGCCTCCATCCAGAAATTGCCATACAACAGGAGTGGACAGCCAAAGTCTGGGAGATCTACGACGGTCCCTTTTTTGAGCTGGGGAAAAAAAAAAAGCATATAAAAAGCCATTGTGGCACAGTGGTTAGAATGCAGTATTGCAGGCTGTTTCTGCTGACTGCCGGCTGACTTCAATTTGACAGATCGAGTCATACTAGGCTCAAGGTTGACTCAGCCTTCCATCCTTCCGAGGTAGGTAAAATGAGGACCCAGATTGTTGGGGGCAATAGGCTGATTCTGTAAACTGTTTAGAAAGAGCTGTAAAGCACTTGGTGAAGTGGTATATAAGTCTAAGTACTCTTGCTAAGTGCTCTTGCATGACCCCTACAAAGAGGCTTAACATGATTGGTATGGAAGAAAGCAACTAACCAACCCCAAACTATTGTCCACCGCTTGTTTTTTTTCACTGTCCTCGCCTACTTCCTACAGGCCAGTATAGCAAAAGCTATTTGGGTTTGTGAGAACATCCTCGAGTGATTAGAAGGACATGCTACAGTCTGGGCAACTGTTAGATAAGAACCCATAGAAGGAGTGGAGGTGGAGAAAGGACAGTCAGACTAGCAAGATTCTTGTAGATGACCACAGTGAGTCTGTGGGAGGGGTCAAATGCATCATCAGTCTCGAGTTCTTTCATGCCCACAACAGACATAAGTCCCACCCACTTTGAATTCCATTGACTATTATCTACCGCCAGTTGCTTTGACTATTAGTAGTTCAGATTCTTGTAGGGAACCTGAGTTTGCAACAAACCTTTGTATTCATTTGAACTGTCTGGACTTCTGATTTTCCCGCACTTGACAATTCTGTTACAATAAAGGTCCCCATGGTATTTTCTTATCTAGACTACCTCAAAGGACTGACAAGATACGATGGTTTATCAGTGTTGGAAGAAATGTCCATCTGGGTCCAGTTCCAAGTGGGAAGAAAGACACTGGAAACATGGAGAGTGTTTGGAAAGATGGTTTTAATGGTGGACAGGACCACATTGAGGTCCTGGGCAAAAAAAAAAGCACATGGGTGAGGGAGCGAGAGAGATGTTTACTCTCTGTTGGGCTTTGAACTTGCCTCCCGATCCTGTGGCAAGAAATGTATCCTGATTGGTTGTCAGACTCCCATGAGGCCATGCAGAGTAGCTTGGTTGAATTTTGCTGGGTGATGCAATCTTCCCAGGTGCCATGTGGTCAGATGGGTAGAGGGCTAATCCTATCAGGTCCTGAAGGCCATGTCTTCATCCCATCACCCTGGAGCTGAAGGGGCAGGGAGCTGCAGGAAGCGACTTTGTCTTTAAAAACATGTTTCTCCTTTTCTCATGCAGGGAAATATAATATTCTGCCTTTTTAATTTTGTCCTAGAATATTCCCTTCTTCTAGGAGAGGGGTGGGTGCTAACTTTCTACATCAGTTTATTGGATGACTTGTCCATAGTTAAGGGAGCACTAGAGCCAGGGCTGGCTGGGGAATTCTGGGATTTGAAGTCCACCAATCTTAAACTAAAGAAAGTAAGTAAAGTAAGTATTGAATTAAAGTAAGGTGCTACATGTAGGCAAGAAAAACCAAATTCACAGGTACAATATAGGTGGTACCTGGGTCAATAGCAGTAACTGTGAGAGGGATCCTAGTGGACAATCATTTAAATATGAGCCAGCAGTGTGTGGCAGCAGCCAAAAAAGCCAACACAGTTCCAGGCTGCGTAAACAGAGCGATAGAGTCAAGATCACGTGAAGTGTTATTACCACTTTATAATGCCTTGGTAAGGCCACACTTGGAATACCGCATCCAGCTTTGGTCACCATGATGTAAAAAAGATGTTAAGACTCTAGAAAGAGTGCAGAGAAGAGCAACATAGATGATTAAGGGACTGGAGGCTAAAATATAAGAAGAACCGTTGCTGAAATTGTGTGTGTCTAGTTTAATGAAAAGAAGGACCACAGGGTAACATAACAGTATCCCAGTATTTGAGGGTCTGCCACAAAGAACAGGAGGTTGTAGGAAGTTAGCACCCACCCCTCTCCTAGAAAATTGAAATAGCCTAGGAAATATTAAAAAGGCAGAATATTTCCCCTAAAAAGAGTAGAAACTCAGAAGCAGAAACTCACCCCAGAAGCAGAATCTCACCCCCACCTTTGTTAATGGGTGGGCCATTAAGGCCTGGGCCGGAATACTTTACATAACAAGGAACTCCAGGTAAAGCTATAGCAATTGCCAAAAGCCCTTTTAAGGGCATAATCACCCAGCAAGGCTAGACCAAGCCTGGAACTCAGGACAGCCAACAGAGTTGCCCCTGTGACAACCAATTAGAATACAAGCTCCAATTCAAATCCGAACGGAGGGTACAAAACCCAGGCACTCTCAGCACCTCAGCCCTTTTTTTTTCTTGATCTCTTCTTGCGTTGAAGCAAGAAGAGCTTCTCTGGAGCTCCAGGCCACGTGGTCCTGTCCACCATTAAACCTTCCAAGCAGCCTCCATGTTTCCAGTGTCTTTTTTCCCCATGTGGAACTGAACCCAGAGGGATATTTCTTTCAGCAAGGTCAAACTATTCTCCAAAGCAACTGAAGGCAGGACAAGAAGCAATGGATGGAAACTAATCAAGGAAAGAAGTCACTAAAACTAAGAGGGAATTTCCTGGCAGAACAATTAAATCGTTGAACAACTTATCTTGAGAAGTTGTGAATGCTCCAATGCTGGAAGTTTTTAAGAAGAGAGTGGATAACCATTTGTCTGAAATGGTATGAGGTTTCCTGCCTAAGCAGGGGGTTGGATTAGATGACCTCTATTCTATTCTATACTTACCAAGATTGAGAAACACTACTTTAGCAGATGAAGAGGGATGGAATTCAGTAAACCAAACTGTTAACTATAATCCATTTCAAGTAAAAAAAGCTTTTAAAACAACGGAAGCTTTAATTAGAAAGGGTTTTATTTTTCTCCTCCATTTAGCAATAATAGCGTTTTTCAGCACTTGGTGTCTGAGAATCAAATCCTGTTTTTTCAAACTGTAATATGCATATCTATCTGCCCTGAGGACAATTAAGCCTAAGAGGCTGAGAATTGATTTACCAGGCTGCTGTTAACAATTTCTTTCTTGCCGCTATTTAAGAACAGAAGAATAGCTGACCTAAAATATCATATTAAAAGTTTGCTACTTTTGCTAAAAGATATGACCTTTGAATCCGAAGCAAACACTCTGGGAAAGCTCAACAGTGTTGGTCACTGAAACAATATTAACTTGCTGCATGCAAAAACATGGGCAGATATGTGAAATCACACATTAATTTGACGGATGAGATATTGAGTAGGAATATTTAATAGGCTCTACTGTATCCTCCGCTACAAGACATGTTTAGAAATCATCCATTACATAAAATGGTATGGGGGAGAGAAGGCCATATTATGTTAGAAATGACAAATGAGGCTTTTCTCCTTTTCAATTTTCTTCTCTGCAAAACTCAGGTGTGTTCCAAGAATATTGAATTATCCCCTTCTGTTGGAAGAAATAGCCTTCTGGGTTTAGTTCCAAGTGGGGAAGAAAGACACTGGAAACATGGTGACTGCTTGGAAAGATGGTTTAATGGTGGACAGGATCACATGTCTTGGAGCTCTTAGGTGGAGAAAAAGGGAAGAGATGCTGAGAGTCCCTGGGTTTTACACCTTCGGTTGGGATTTGAATCTGAGCTTGTATTCTGATTGGTTGTCAGACTCCCATGGGGCCATGCAGGGGCAACTTTGTAGGTTGTCTTTTGAGTCCCAGGCTTGGTCGACTCTTGCTAGGTGATGCTGTAATGAAAGGGCTTTGGGCAATTCCTATTATGGCTCTGCCTGAAGGAGGTAGGTCTTTGTTATGTAGAATAGACTGGCTCAGGCCTTATTAATGGCACATTGAGAAAGGTGTGGGGTGGGGCTGAGTTTCTGCTTCTCTTTTAGGGGAAATATTCTGCCTTTTTGGTATATCCTAAAACATTTCATTTTTCTAGGAGAGGGGTGGGTTTTAACTTCCAACACTTGCTTCTGTTGGAAGAAATGTCCATCTGGGTACAGTTACAAGGGGGATAAACATGGAGATTGCTTGGAAAGATGGTTTAATGGACCACATAATTTGAGGTCCTGGGCAAAAAAAGCACACGGGATGAGAGGGAGTGAGATTAATACCTTCAGTTGGGGTTTCAGCTATCCCAGAACTGCTTGCTGTGTGTGTGTTGGTTCTGTTTACCAATAAACAGAATCTTTCCAATCATCCTCTATTTTATTCCCGGCTTGTAACTGCACCTGGATATTTTTTTCTTCCAACAATACCATGGTGGAGATCCAGATCTTAGAATCCCTCTCTCCCTCCCCCTCTCTCTCTTTCTCTCTCTCTCTCTCTCTCTCTCTCACACACACACACACATGCACATATACCAATTCTTTTTTTTCCCCTTTGGCAAAAGTTACATTGCTTGTGCTCATATTGAAGTCTACTCAATGCTTCCTTTTTTTTTGCACGATGTTATTTTGGCTACAGGAGAATCCATAGGCACAGAATGAGTTTATTTATGAGAATACAAAAGATCTTTACAGCTTGACTCCTACAAACTCCATTTCCCAAATTCTCTCACCCACAGAAAGGGATGCAGAACAGTGAGAGAAATTAACTGAAAATAAAACTATGTATTTCATATATTATTGTTTTACGTTTTACATATTATTACGGTGCTGGAGAAGTTTCCCATGTCTTCCTTGGAGAGTAAAGGTAACAAACAAGCAAGTTACTCCAGCGCATAACAGACATGTCACTGGAAGGAAAAAAAAATCACAAAACCGCATCTCACTTATTTTGGCCATGTCATGGGGTGGGGTGGGGATTCACTGGAGAAAGTAATTGTGTTTGGAAGAGTTAGCAGTGAAAGGAAACCAGGTCATCAAAGAACATGGTGGTTAGACACCATCAAAGCTGACATCACTTAAAGCATAGAACAACTCAAAGAAGTGGTGCCAGATCAAAAGATGTGGAAAGAACAGGTCCATAGAATTGCCAAGTGTCAGACATGACTGAATCATCTTCATCATATCATCTCCTCCTCCTCCTCCTCCTCCTCCTCCTCCTCCTCCTCCTTTCATACAGTATTATATAGATGGACTCTCCAAATCCTATTTGCCAGAGATAGCTGAACAGTCTTCTTCAACCCATTACTCTCCACACCCCAGTGGATTACAGCTCATCTGCTCGGCAAGATCCATTGCCACGCATCTGCTTATTCACCCTGAGAACAAAGTAATCCAAAACACAAGGATGTCACCTTGGAAATGCC